GATCACCAATTAAATTGATTTAGGAACCTATACAAATTTGGGAAATAGAGTTTAGTGTAGACTAAAATTGGGATAGCTTATGATCATATTAATTAATTTGTGTATAGGATAAGGATATACCTATAGGCCTTATGTAGCCAGATTAGAGCTTGAACTTAATGAGTTTATTTTAATTTCAACTCATATAGGGATATAGTATTTTAGTTAAAATAGATATTTTTTTCAAAATGAGTTGGGAAACTCTTATAATAATTGAAGACTCTAGGTTAGCAACTTAACTCATTGAAATAAGTTAAGGAAAAGAGTTAAGATTTAGATAAAGTGTGAGGGACATTATAATCCTAGGCTTGTTTGATTTGATTTTTACTCAAGTTGTTATTACTTTAATTTTTTTTTAGTTTAAATTTTGGTTAATTAATTTTAGTTAATTAATTAATTTTGATTGTTTGGATAAGATTAAATTGTTATAATTTTAGTACTTAGTAAAATTTTAGATCAATTCTCTGTGGGATCGATATTCTGCTTACTTATATACTATTTATTTGATACGTATACTTGCGTAGTAGGATTTTAATTGACAGCCATTATGCCTTTATCATTCATAATTTCCTTATCAAACCTTAATTCACATTTGTTGAGCTTCAATCGTCTTAAGCTCGGTTAGGTTCTAAGTGCCTTTAAGTCTCCAAGGCATCATTCAATCAAATCATCTCACATATCATTCACCTAAGGTAATCTACTCTTAGGAGTTCATCTTAGCCTCTAGACATCCTAATCTAGACACACACACAACATAAGCCACCCATGTGGCTCATATCACAACACACAATCGCACACAATTCACATATATACATATACACATATATTGTTCTCAAGCTTGGGTTCATTCATCCAAGCATACATATTTCATTATAATACTAGTGCAACACATCTTTCATGCATCATGCATTACATGCAAATTAAATTAAACCCACTCACAGTGACAATAAAAGGCACTACTTGCCAAGCTTTGACCTTTAGCCTTCAATAGTTGTATAGCTTGCCAATGAGTTAATTTAACTTTGTTTCCCCCTTCAAACACATCAAAACAACAAAAAGTTAATTATTCTTGTCTTTCGAAAAATGTCATCTTTTCACACAGTTAACTAAATCTTAGCAATCCAACTATTTAAGCTCAAATCCTTCATTAATGAGCTAAACTCATACTTTAGAAGTCAGATTGCATGAGTCTTAGTTCCAAAATTCCCAATCTAAGCCAAAAAGTGAAAAATACCAAATCTAGAAAAAAAGTCAAATTTGAAGTTATTAACTAATTAAATAGAAAAATAATAAATAAATACTTTAAACCTTACCTCTAGGATAGTTTTTCAAGCTCCAAATAGCTTCAAATCACTTTAAAAATCTATTTGAGGCTATAGGGTTTCAGGTTTCTGGAGAGAGAAAGGAAGAGAAAGAGCTAACAAAGAATATCGGGCGAAATGGACTAAAAACCCCTTTTTTATTTTGGTCTTTCCTCTATAATGTATCAATACATTTACCCTAATTTCGAATAAATGTATCGATACACTGGGGCAATGTATCAATGCTTCTCCCCTTGGGTGCTCTCTACTTAAAATGTATTGATACATTTGGACAATATATCGATACATTTGGACAATATATCGATACATGTTCATCTTTGGCCAGATTTATCAATATATTCTTAAATGTATCAATAAAATATTCTTCCTAGGGCCTTTGTTGTTCATCCTGCCATGAATGTATTCAGACATTGGGGTATGTATTGATACTTTCACCCTTGTAAGCAATTCTAAGCTTCCCAAACACTCCAAAAGTCCAAGTTTAACACTCCAATATTATTCTTGATTGATATGACACTTCAAATCATCCCTTTTAATTAATCCCATACACAAACTCATAAACATAACGTCAAATTTTAATAAAAACCTCAAATTATGAGATTTATTACATATCTCCTTAAAGTTTTGCCTAAGTGTCAATATTTACACTCTTAAACACTAAGCATTCATTTCTTATCATCAAAGTCATCAAAACTCCATATATTTCATAAATCATTCTTTGTTTACATAAAAAATTGGGGGGTGTTACAGGTGTAAATCAAAGAAAATAAGCGAAACACAAAATAGAGAAAGAAACTAATGGTGAAGCTTTTGACCTTGAATCTCTCTCAATCTCTCTTGCTTTCTTACTTTGTTCTTAGCTCCAAGTCTTTAAAATTGCTACTGTCACCCTCCTTGTTGAATACTCTAATTAAGGTCCCTTAAATAAGTTCAAAATAACCTAATTTCCTTATTCTTGCATAAAAAAATATTTTCGGAAAGCAGTGTTCTTGCATAAAAAAATATTTTCGGAAAGCTGTGTGGCGTCATGGCCATGCTACCTTAGTCCTGTAGAGCCATGCCTTGGTTTGTGGCTCCACAATGCTCTGGCCTTGGGAAAATGTATGATGCTCTCCATTTTTCCAGCGCTATGGCCATGGTCTCCTCAGTGCTGTGGCCTTGAGGAACTAAAGGCCACAGCCTTCACTCAATGTGCTACCTTGTACAAAACTACTACAGTCCATCATCTTTCAACATGACTTTCACCTTGATCTGATCTGAACTAAGTAAAGTAGTAAACATAAAAGTTGTAGCCTTGTCTCTTATCTTTCCAATGGATTAAGAATTACATCAATTAAATTTCTTTAGCTTAAGTTATCCTCAAAATACTACAGTATACATGAATGAAGTCATCACCATATTTGTGTGGCTTTAAATCAATTGAACCTTACTCATCAAATATCCTACAAAAGCAATGATAGAAATCAACAATAACTATTTTTAAAGTAAATTAAAGAAAAATAAAGTAAAATTAAAATAAAATAACTGAAATTAACTATTCAACATGTAATCCAACTTAAACTAAAAAATGGCCTAAAATGCTTAAATTCGAATCTAAAATCTCAAAGATTTAGCTACTTATACTCTCAAAATATCTCAAAATAACTCTATATACTTGAGTCATCAAAGTAGTAGATGACTATTTTATCATGGTTCACCTTCTCTCTTGAACTTATTCCAAAAGTATTAGATAGGTTTATGATGACATATTGTTGTTGATATAAAGCCTCCTCAAACAAAAATAAATTATCTGCAAAGAACATACACGAAATTACTTGTCCTCTTTTATTAAACCTGAATGGTTTCCAAGAGTCAAAATCCATTGTCAAATAATGCAATGTGATGATCTCTCCAAACATAGAACAAAAAGGTATGGAGATAAACGATCCCTTAAACAAACTCCTCTTGAAGGTGCAAAAGATTTCATGAGAAAGACATTCCAAATAACTAGAGTGTTGCATTCCTGCAAACTCCTCGCAATAAGGTAGTGTTTGGTATGAGGGATGTGCATCCACGTTTCTTATAATGTGTTTAACTAAATTACATTACAATATTTATTTTGAAACAAATCTACACAATATAATATTACAATACAATCACAATATAGTCAATGGATGTAATGCAATTGTACTGAAATACCAATGTAATCTCAAATTATAACTTACTTTACAATGTTAACAAACTTGACTTGCTATTTTAGCCCTTATTCATTTAAAAAAATGAACAAAAATCCTTTTTAACATAACTTACCCTTCTTGATGTAACATTTTCAAGTATTATCAAACAAATAGAAGAAATCTTGTACAGTGGATCAATATAATAATTTTTTGCTAAATTTACATATATTAGCGATAAATATAATCAAGTATAACATTAATAATTCATAAAAGAAAATAGACAAGTCATTCAATAAAATTCTCTCTTACTTTTAGATTTTGGTTTTAAAAAATCTCTTTTGCTTTTTTTTTTCAAAAAATAATTATTTCCATTTTTAATTTTTTATGAAATTTTCAAAATAATAATAATAATACTATATTTTAAAATTTTCAAAATTGTTAACAAATAAACTTTTTTAATTAATATTAAAATGGATTTGCCATATTTGATACTTGATTATTTGTTGAAAGAATGCTGGCTTTGTTTTATTGTTGGTGTAAACTAACTTTGGCGTTTATTTTTTATTAAGCTCTCAAGGAGTTCACCTCTATTGAGTTATAATTTTCTTATGATTGTTTTATGATGGGCAAGTTCTGCACTTTTGATTGTATCTCAAAGGTCCAGCACATTGCTTGACCATTATTTACTTCCCAATTCAATAATTGAAGTTCAACCACTCTCAATGTATTATAGAATAATTTAATGCTATGAAGTTTGAAAGTCAAGTTTTAATACATTTCTTTTTGTTTATGTCATTTATAAACTAAATTTGTATTACAATAAATAAAAATAAAATATATGAAATTATAATAAAAAATAAAACATATGATATTAAAAATTTATTTAAGAAATAATATTATATAAAAATTTATAAAAAAAAATACAGATATTAAACTTATATTTTAGTTATTATGTGATGCAGATTCTTGGTCTGACCTTTTTCCAGTGATTGATTGGGATTTTTGTGTTGAGCTAGTTGTATAGCTAAAGCTCTGAGATTTTTTTTTTTGTTTTGTATTAACCAGGCAGCATGTTTCTTGGAGAGCTGCTGCATGAATCATCTTGTTTTTAAGAAGTGAAAACAAAATGTACTAATTTTTGTACATTTTATGAAGTAATGAAATCGATTTTAATGTGTTTTTTTTAAACAATGTACATAAAAATAATTTTGAAAATTAAAATTATATTTTTAATAAATTTTTTGTAAACTAAATATTCTAATATTATTTTTCTTACAATATAATTGTATTCCAAACGCCACTTAAATTTTAAATGTTGTTTTTAGCAGAACAAAAGAGGTTTAGGGGAATTTCAATTAGTTAAATTCTTTATCTTTATTACTACGAGCCATGTGCCGGCTTTGCGGTTTGAATGCAAAACGAATTGATAAAATAAAAGAAAAGAAGCACAAGCAACTGCCGAGTTGACGTGTCATGAGTCGTGGGGAGGAATCAAGATTACCAGAAAGCTAGCTAAGCTACCGTCTCGCACCTCTTCCAGCCTTTCAACATACTTATGACAGCATTTGATTCCCAGATCCGTGGTCCCCACCTCCATGTGCTTTGTTCTCAATTGCTGCTCCTTCCTTTCCTTTCTACTTGCTCGACTGATCTCATCAATTCCCAAGTTGCCAAGTCCAAGCTCTGCCTTTCTCTTGTCTTCCTTTCAAGCTTCTTTCTTTCTCTCTGTATCGTTCTTCTGTTGCTGCTGCTGCTGCTTTTGGCTTTTTACTTTCTCCAGTTCAGTCCGACATGATTGCTCTATGCATCTAATGCCTTGAAAAAAAAAAGAGTTGCATCTCTTTGCTACATTTTCCAAAAAAAAAAAAAGAAGAAAGAACTTTACATTTCAGCTCTATCAAGATGAAGAAGAAAACCCATGTTGGCTGCCGCTTCAATCTTTTTGCCATTGTTCTTGGATTGACTTTAATCTTCGTCTCTGTAAAATCCCAGAAAAGTGCCAGTGATGATGCTGCAGTGATGTTAGCTCTCAGGAAGACCCTCAACCCACCCGCATCTCTCGGATGGTCTGACGCGGATCCCTGCAAATGGAGCCACGTTGTCTGCTCAGAGGACAAGCGGGTCACCCGGATCCAAATTGGTCACCAGAACCTGCAAGGTACACTTCCTTCAAATCTTCAGAACCTGACTGAACTAGAGCGTTTAGAGCTACAGTGGAACAACATTTCAGGTTCCGTCCCTAGCTTAAACGGACTAAGCTCACTACAAGTGGTTATGCTAAGTAATAATCGCTTCACTTCATTTCCCGATGATTTCTTTTCTGGCTTATCTTCTCTTCAATCTGTGGAGATTGATGACAACCCTTTTTCTGCCTGGGAAATCCCCCATAGTTTGAAAAATGCTTCTGCTTTGCGTAACTTCTCAGCCAACTCCGCTAACATTAGCGGCAAAATACCTGACATTTTTGGACCTGATGAGTTCCCAGGTCTAACCATTTTGCATTTGGCCTTCAATAGTCTAGAAGGAGAGCTGCCCTCCAGCTTTTCTGGGTCACCAATCCAGTCTTTATGGGTTAATGGGCAGGAAAGTAATGGTAAACTTACTGGCAGCATTGCTGTAATACAGAACATGACATTCTTGAAAGAGGTTTGGTTGCATTCCAATTCATTTTCCGGTCCTTTACCAGACTTCTCTGGTTTAAAAGACTTGCAGAGTTTGAGTTTGAGGGACAACTCCTATACTGGGCCTGTTCCCATTTCTCTGGTGAATCTCGGGTCATTAAAAACTGTAAATTTGACAAATAATTTACTTCAAGGACCAATGCCTGAGTTTAAGAATTCCATTTCTGTGGATATGGTTAAGGACTCGAATAGCTTTTGTTTGCCAAGTCCTGGTGACTGTGATCCGAGGGTGACTGTGTTGCTTTCTGTTGTGAAGCCGATGGATTATCCACAAAAGCTTGCTGAAAATTGGAAAGGGAATGATCCTTGTGCAGATTGGCTTGGGATTACCTGTAGTAATGGGAACATTACTGTTGTTAATTTTGAGAAGATGGGCCTTTCAGGTACCATCTCTCCTGATTTTGCATCACTTAAGTCTTTGCAGAGGCTGATTCTTGCTGATAATAATCTTACTGGTTCCATTCCGGAGGAGCTTACCTCTCTGGTTGCACTTAAAGAACTTGATGTATCAAACAATCAACTTTATGGGAAAATCCCTACTTTCAAGAGCAATGTCATTTTGAATAAAAATGGTAATCCTGACATCGGCAAGGAGAAAAGTAGTTCTACTTCTCCAGGTTCAACAGCTGACAATCCCATGGAAGGCAAAGGATCTAATAGTAGTGGAAGTTCTGGTAACACTGGCAAGAAATCTTCAGCTTTGATTGGAATAATTGTAGTTTCTGTTCTTGGGGGTCTGGTAGTTGTTGGTTTGTTTGGTTTGTTGCTTTTCTGTCTTTACAAAAAGAAACAGAAACGGTTTAGCAGAGTACAGAGCCCAAATGCAATGGTGATTCACCCACGTCATTCTGGGTCAGATAATGAAAGTGTTAAAATTACAGTTGCTGGCTCAAGTGTTAGTGTTGGTGCTGTGAGTGAAACTCATACAATTCCAAACAGTGAGCCTGGTGACATGCAAATGGTTGAAGCTGGAAACATGGTTATCTCTATCCAAGTTTTAAGGAACGTGACCGACAATTTCAGTGAAGAAAATATATTGGGACAAGGGGGTTTTGGGGTCGTATATAAAGGTGAGTTGCATGATGGTACAAAGATCGCTGTGAAGAGAATGGAATCTGGAGTTATTAGTGGGAAGGGTTTAGCAGAATTTAAGTCTGAGATTGCTGTCTTGACAAAAGTTCGACACCGGCATCTTGTTGCTCTTCTTGGGTATTGCTTGGATGGGAATGAGAAGCTTCTTGTGTATGAATACATGCCCCAAGGTACTGTTAGTAGACATATCTTTAACTGGGCAGAAGAAGGATTAAAACCACTTGAATGGACAAAAAGGTTGATCATTGCCTTAGACGTGGCAAGGGGTGTTGAATATCTTCATGGTTTAGCCCATCAAAGCTTTATACATAGAGACTTGAAGCCTTCAAACATTCTACTTGGAGATGATATGAGGGCTAAGGTAGCGGATTTTGGTCTTGTGCGTCTTGCTCCTGAGGGTAAAGGCTCCATTGAAACTAGAATTGCTGGAACATTTGGATACCTGGCACCAGAATATGCAGGTATTTTTTTAGTGGTTTTGCTCTTGTACTTAATTTATATTCTTTTTCATAAAAATAAATTGCAAATCTTCTATGCATGAACCCATAAAAGTATGCAAGTATTTGATAGACTCTGGCATTTGGCAGTTTAAGAAGATAGGTAGCACCTGACAGAGACATGAAAAGAAGTCTGGGTATTAAAAAAAATAGAATAATGTATAATTGCACTCATTTCCTTTGAAATTTCAACACCTTATACTTCTGATCTAGATATGCATTCATCTCACTAGCTGTCATGTATATGTTGAAGCTAGTGTTGTCTAAGATTTTCATTTTCATTGGCAATATATTGCTGATGTGAAAGTCATTTTTCGTTTGAATATGGAGTGCAGTTACTGGACGAGTTACAACTAAAGTGGATGTATTTAGCTTTGGGGTGATATTGATGGAGCTAATCACAGGCAGAAGAGCACTTGATGAAAGCCAACCTGAGGAAAGCATGCACCTAGTTACATGGTTCAAGAGAATGCACATAAACAAGGACTTATTCCGCAAAGCCATTGACCCCACAATTGACCTCATTGAGGAAACTCTTGCCAGTATCAGCACTGTTGCTGAGTTGGCAGGTCATTGCTGTGCAAGGGAGCCATATCAAAGGCCTGATATGGGTCATGCTGTAAATGTGCTCGCTTCTCTAGTGGAGCTTTGGAAACCAACTTATCAATGCTCTGATGACATATATGGGATTGACCTTGAAATGTCATTGCCACAAGCACTAAAAAAGTGGCAAGCTTATGAAGGCAGAAGCAATTTGGAGTCTTCATCTTCTTCACTTCTTCCCAGCTTAGACAACACTCAAACCAGCATTCCTACGCGGCCTTATGGATTTGCTGAGTCATTTACATCAGCAGATGGGAGATAAGCAGTTGTAAATTGTGGTATTGGTGGCTCTGTATGTCCATTCTCATTGCTTCTTGCTTCTTGTTAGTACACTTGTAGACTAAATTATTTTACCCCACAATGTTGTATTTTTCTTGGAATATGATTTTCAATGTTCTTCAGTTTGGAAGCTCCGGAGAGCAGCTAGGCAAAATGTTCTCAAAGCATAAGAATTAGTGTTTCATTCTTGAAAACGCCCTGTTCTTAATCCTGCCCGGGAGTTGGCCACTGATTATGCTGTTGGAGTGTCCTGGCGACGGTCAGCCAGATGAGAAAACTTAACCTTTACGTTTTGAATTTAAATTAGTCCCATTTAGATTTCGCTTTTAAAAACTCTGGCTTAGTAATTTTGAATTGGTTTCAAGTCCATATGGGAATTTATGGACAGAAGCCATATTTGCAACGTACAAAGGGCGAAGAATGGTAGAAAAGATGACGAATTTGATGTGTTATTGATTAGCTGTCGAAGTAGTGTTTGAAGAAGTTAAGACAGCAGACCCAAAAAAGCAGCTGCCAACACTGAAATCCAACCAGGATGCCGTTGTTTGAACATGCAATGTTACAACGATGCTACAAAAAGTTCTCGCTTGATTCAAACTGAAAACCGTCAAAAAAAGGTCATGTGATGTCGGAAATTCTGCAAAGACTGGAAAACAGCACAAGCTACGCCGTTCAATGAACAAACAGATGTGTGGGGAGTCGCGTGGGTGTCCAAAGTTTATGCGGGGACCCGCGAGTGTTGCGATGAGGTGTAGCTATCGCCCCCGCCCACACATGGCTTCACGTTCTGCTCTCAATTTCCAAGGTATCTGTCCCCTGTCATTCAGTTGTCGCTTTCATTTCTTTATGGACAGTATCTCAATTGTGGACCAACCCAAAACATGCTCTTGAGATCAACTGTAAATCGTCAGCTTAAAGCCACATGATTAAAATTCCCGCGAGTCATCCAACCTGTAACTCTTCAGTTTGGGACCGCAAACGTTTAATGCCATCAATTAACAGATATGTGACAATTTTAATATACCGTTAACAGATATGTGATTACCTCTTTGGTTCTCTGCACAATCCCCTCCCAATGCCTTGCCCAAATCCGAATCTCCTGCCTTTCTTTCACCCTCATTGACTCCTCAGCCTCTCCAAGTAATGCCCGTCAAGGTCCATTTTCTTCTTTCTAGCTCCCAACAATGGACTACTTTTTTACATCAGTATCTGAAACCATTTCAACAATGCCTCTTTGCTTCTCTCTTGCGGAGTTGCTAAACCTAGTCGTTGAAGCAAAATTCCAATTCAACAGGGATTCACCCTATAGTTTCCTTCACCATTAACTTGAAATTAACAACTGAAACTCCTTAATTAATTTTCAAAGGTTTTTATGATATGGGTAAAGATTTCTTTTTCTGAAACGTCATCTTCCTCCGTTTGGTTGAATTTGATCTAACCGTGTTATGGAAAATTTTAACGAAGCATCTCTCAAGGTAATTGAGTGTAACTTTTTAATAACTACAAAGTTTTTTTCTATAATTTATCCTTTTTGGTTTGTAATAATGTTGAAATCAACATTATCTTCAAATTGCAAATATATACTTTTATTTTATTTTTCATACTAACAAAACATTCTGGTACATATCTGTGCTTAAATGTTCAGGTAATATCACCTTATAATATAAATACTCTTGAATAAGTTTGATCCAAGATTCGATTAACTTGGAGAGTTAATTCATTGAGGCCATGAACTAAAAGTCAGCCAGCAGACAGAAGTCAATCAACTAAGAACTTCCTTAAGCGACTGAATTACTCTAGAGAAGCTAAAAAAAAATCAATCGATGAAGTTTTTATCAAACAATTAATAAGAAAAATGAAGTCGAAGATTTCAATTTGTTAATCAACGTGGGAAGAACTCTAAGAGTCCGTTTGGTACATTGCAATGTAAAGCACATTACCTGTAATGTGACTTATTAAATTACATTGCAGTGTTTGTTTTGTAACAGATCACTGCAATATAAGATTGCAAGGCAATTACATTACAGTCAATGGATGTAATGTGATTGCAGTCCAAAACCAATGCAATCACATTACATTGCACTCTGCAATATTCTTAAAGACAATTTTACCTTTCAATTTTATTACCTTATTAAAAATATTTTATAATATTATAATTAAAATAAAAATATTAAAATAAAATATATAATATAAGAATAAAAATTAAAATAAAATAAAATATAAAAATTAACATTTATATAATATAGGTAAAACAAATTAAAATAAAATATATAACATAAAAAATATATTAAAGAAATGAAAATAAAATATATAAAATTATAATAATAAATAAAAATAAAATATATGATATTAAAAATATATTTAAAATATGATATTATATAAAAATTAATAATATAAATATAAATATATTAAAAATAAAATATAAAATATTATAATAATAAATAAAAATAAAATATATGACATTAAAAATATATTTAAGAAATGATATTATATAAAAATTAATAATAAAAATATAAATATATTAAAAATAAAATATAAAATATTACAATAATAAATAAAAATAAAATATATGATATTAAAAATATATTTAAGAAATGATATTATATAAAAATTAATAATAAAAAATATAAATATATTAAACTTATATTTTAATAATTAGGGGTAATTTTGACAATTAACATTATATTCCCACTAAAGTACTTGTAAACCAAACACTGCAATGTTATCTTCCCTGCATTTTAATCATTATTTTGCTTACATACCAAACACTGTAATGTTATTTTCCCTATAATCACATTGCTTGTAATCACATTACTTGCAATCACATTACCTGTAATCACATTGCATTGTAATGTACCAAACGCCACATAAGTGATTAACATAAGATATTAGATAGCTTTGCAAGTCGCGTGAATTTATAATATGCTAGAAATTGACACCTTTAACAGGTTGATTTGGTTCAAGTGGCTAGATTTTCAAATCTTGTATAAAATGAACCAATTAAGGACTTCGAAATTGATAAATGCGGATTTTGATTTTGGATTCAATAGCAATAATTGTTATCTAATATAAAAGTCAAGAATCTATCGAAAAAAATTGTAAATCAAGATACACTTATCTTAAAAGCAATTTAATTAACTCAACTTCAAAAGCGATTAAATTTTGCATCATGATTCAAGTACCTCAAAAACGATTCAAGTGACTCGTTTCCAAAAGGGTTCACGCATCTTAAGGGTGATTTTGTTTTTCTAAAAACCTATTGTTAATTAATTTTGATGGCCAACTAAGCAGCAACCTTTTGCTTTTATAGATATACTTATAGACTTGGATCCATTGTACCCAATCATAATCCAACAAGACTTATAATAAAACCCAAAATAAGAATATGCATGAGATTTTTAAGAATCTCTCTCTACAACTATGGCTAAGTCCATGTCATCTCATGATTCATATTTTATTTGGAATTTTATTTAATCTAGAGTAAAATACTCCAACCTCCATAAGTTTTAGTCGAAATTCCAAACGGATTTATTAGTTTTTAAAATGGATACTCTACCTTAAAAATGCAAACACCGTTGATAGAAATTAAGAAAAAACTAAATGTCTTTTCTTTTTTTATTAATTTTAAAAATTATTATTAGATTTTAAAGAAATAAAAAAAAAGTAGCATTGATCAGTGCTCCTTAAGAAACGGAAGCACCGGTCAGTGCGCCTAAGTAAAGGAGTCATCGATCAGTGCACCCCAAGGGCTGGTGCTCCCTTTTGGAAGCCCTCTATATCGAGCTCCCCTTGGAGGGTACCGGCGCTCCCAAAGGAGCACCAGATCTGGTGCTCTCTTAGGGAGTCTGATCGAGGCTCCCAAAAGGAGCCCTGATGCTCCCAATCTTGGTAGTTTTTTTTTTAATTAGTAAAAAAAATAAAATTATATAATAGTAATTTTAAAAATTAATCGAAGGTAAAATTATCTTTTTACCCTTGCTACGTTAGAAAGTTTACAGAAATATTAATAGTTGACTAATGGTTAAACCTACGTATCCAGCAGAAATTTTTTTTTGAGGCGAAGTGTCCATTTCGAAAACTAATGGATCTCCATATAATTTTGATCAAAATTTAGAGGGGTAAGGATATTTTATCCTTTAATCAAATATTATTATTTACTTTCTTAAATTAAAAAAATTCTTATTTACCCATAAATTGCAATAATATCCATCAACACATTACAATTGACTTTTGCAGAGAAAAGAATTGTCAATAAGGTCATTTTCATTACAATATTTACTAATTATTCTTTTCACTGTGCCATATTCCTGATGGGCTTTATAGATAAATAATTTCCATTGTCAAATCCTGTGAAATGCCACCATTAAAATAAAAGATCTAAGTGTAACTTGATGAGCTAAGGTTTTAAAATTTTAAGAATGATTTAGAACACTTTTAGCTTAAGAATATCCTTATAATGTTTTCAAATGAGCTTTGGGGAAGTTGGGATTCAAATGGGGCCAAAAGACTTAATTTTTCACTTAAAAATAGCATTTTGGAGCCAAGGTATCGAGGTTTGGTCAAGAAGTATCAAGACTTGCTTCATGTGAAAAATAAAGTCTCGAGACTTCAAAGGAAGTCTCGAAACCTTGCTACCTAGAAAGTCACAAGAAGTCTTAAGACGAGTCAAAAACCCTAAGAAAAACCATTCTATTTTAAAACATTTCGAGACTTAGGCCTAAAGTATTGATACTTCAATGTTAAACTTCAAAAAATAAAGGGTTAAATTGGTCTTTTCACCCCATATACTATAAATATGTCACCAATCCTGAGGTCTGAAGGTTTCCAAGATTTCTCAACCGCCAAACCTTTTCTTTACCATACTGTCAACTCTCTTAACTCTCTTTCAAACTTCAAATTCATGTTTCTTGAAGAGCAACTTGATTTCCAACCTTTAAACTTGTTTCCAACATTTTTTGAGGCAAAAAAAGTGATTTTCTAGCATTTAAGTTTATGGATTTACTCCAAAGTTTCTATAAAATCTTAAAAATGTGATTTTTATCTCAAATGTTAGGTTTCAAGCATTTTCAAGCACAGTGAGCTCATCAAGGTAAAGTTAGCACTAACTAAAACCAGTTTTGGAGACTAGACTATGGTTGAAAGAATAAACAAGTTAAATAGAGATTTAGAC